ACTCTCATGCACGTGTAGAAATAGAATAAAAGAAAAAAGAAAACAAAAGAAGAAGAAAGAAGAGACAAGAAACAAAGTTATATACAAGAAAAGTGAAAAGAAAAATAAAATAAATGCTATAATTTGTACAAGAACTTACCTCCCCGGCAATGGCGCCAAAAACTTGATATAACTAAAAGATTGATGTCTTCTCCCAAGTGTAGGAGTGTCGAAGTAATAAATAACCCGGCAAGACTGGGATCGAACCACATGGAGGTTATTTGTACAAATTATAAATAACAATAACACAACAACAACAACAATATAGTTTATGATCAACTTGAATCTATTTTAAGTAAAAATGAATTGGATGAAACTGAAGATTTGCAAATGGTTTATTCTGAGGAAGAAATCACGGATGAAACAAGCACCGAAAATGTTGATGCGAATTTTTTGTCAACAGTGACAACAAATTCGATACCTGACATCACACCAGTGGATGATTACTTTCCTAACGAATCCTTACTTTCTCTTAGTCCAATGCCTTAGTATAATAAAAATATCAATTTTCTTTCTTTAAGAGATTTGCCAGCTGATTGGAGTACCCAAGACAAAGAAAATTTTTTGAACGAAGTGAAGAATTTTTATTGTGATGACCCTACCTTATTCAAATATTGTCCTGATCAAATATTTCAAAGATTCATTCCCGATAATGAGAATGCGATTACACAAATTTACCGTGCTAGATGTGCAAGATTGAGATTGTTAATGAATCATGGAATTCCTGAGGATATTCGTTGGATGATTGAAGCCAAGGTCCGATTATCAGGTGAGTCCTCTAATTTCTTTATTTCACACATGCCTGGAACAGGTAAAAGCACTTTTGCAAAGAAGCGTCGTGCAAAACGACTAGAAGTCTATCATCGCTGTGCTAGATGGACTTGTAATACACAATGTCGTTCTTTAGGAATGGTATCTATAAACCGTGAAGATAAAATACAATTCATTAAGGATGACCTGAGTAAGGAGTCTTTAGATAATCTTCTATCGACTCTTGAGACGCATCCTAGTGGAGATGTGCATCGTGCAATTCATGATTTATGACCACTATTTCATAAAGAACATGATCGACTTAGTCTTGGGAATCTGACTAAAAAAGACCCTATTTGCCAGTTTTAAGAAAACTGGATGGGAAGCCTATCCCCAACCCATAGAAGGCGTTTAAGCCGTTCTTGGACGTAAAACCAAGGGAAGATGTGAGTCACAATCACAACTACGTGTACATACACATGCTTTTTTCAAAAGTAAATAAATAAATAAATAAAAAGAGAGAGAAAGTGTGAGACTCTAGCTGGCCTACATATAGATGTTATGATTGCCTTTCTAATTTCTTATCTATAAAACCCTCTTTTCCTTCCTTTCATTTCTACTCAACCCATACATTCAACAAATACAGAAGTGTGTAGAAATGGCAAGTTCCTCAAGTCATCAAATAAGAAATATTTGTGTTTTCGGTGGATCTAGTCCTGGAAAAGAAAAGGAGTTTTTAGAATCAGCAAATCATCTCGGTCAGGTGCTAGCTGAGAGAAAGATTCATTTAGTGTATGGGGGAGACAGTCTTGGGTTAATGGGAGGTGTGTCAATAGCTGCATTTTTAGGAGGTATTCAAGTTTTAGGAGTCGTCCCTGAAGCTTTAGCACAAGGAGACATCATTGGAAAAACAATTGGAGAGGAACTTCAGGTCTCCACAATGTCGGCTCGAATGAATGCAATGTTTAACCATGCTGATGCTTTCATTGCTTTACCAGGTGGTTTAGGCACATTGGAAGAGATCTTTCATATTTCCTCTTGGGCTCAATTGCATATTCACCATAAACCCATTGGCTTGTTAAATGTTAATGGTTATTATGATAAGTTGTTGTCTTTTCTTGATCATGCTGTGGAACAAGAATTTCTAACATCTTCTGCACGACAAATCATAATCTCTGCTACTACTGCTGAACAATTGATTGACCAACTACAATCTTTCATTCCTGTGATTGATCCTTCCATGAGTCGCATAAATTTGTCATCTACGGGAAGCCGTAAAAAGCTTAGATTGGATTTGAGCCTTCATTTGTGAATTTTTGTGTATTTTGGTTTTATTATTGTGTTTTGTTATTTCTTATTTTTTCAGTGTGTTTCAAGTTTTGTCAGTGTTCGTTATTTCAGGTGATATCTTCTATACTCTATCTTTCTACCTTAGAACATTAAGGACAATGTCTCATTTTGGTTGGGGGGAGAGGGTAGTAGTTGATAAAAAAAAAAAATTATTTTTCATTTCATAAAGCATGTGCATAATTGTTGTTACTAGGATGGCAGAGTAAAGGAGTTCTTTTGTTAAAGTGACTCTTGAGACGCATCTTAGTAACCATTCTTAACAAGGTCTATTATAATACTTCCTGAAATATTCAGGTTTGCAAACTCTCGTATTGTTACCACTTAATTCTGCTCATATACTTATTTAACATGTATTTTTAAACCTTAATTTACACACACACACTTTAACATATGATTGTGGGTTGCATATTGGATTATTACATTATTTATGTTCTTTTGTTAAAGGTAACAACTAAGGGAAAAGGATTGTATATAATTAAAAAAGAAAAAAAAAACATGAAAAAAAAAGAAAAAAAAAGAAAAAAAGAAAAAAAAATGATGATAATAAAAATGTAGATAAGTTTGATTTCGTAGCCTCCCTAACCTAAGCAATTAAGCCCGAAGGGGTGTTTTAACACCTAATACCCTAAAGTCAACTGACTTGGGAGCTATTGGCCCAACGCTTGTTACATGGGTTGAGGAGAAAAGCTTAAGGGAATCAAACATTGCACTATCTACATATCAGTATCTGCGACCCGAGTTACTAAGCTCGTTGGGGTGTCTTAACACCTAATGCCCTAAGACCAACTGGTCTGGGAGTCATTAGTTGAAAGCTCGTTACATGGGTTAAAGATGCATGATGTTTTTAAATTATATGTATATAGATTTTTAAAAAGAAAAAAAGAAAAAAAAAGACAAAAATAATAATCCCAACCCAAGGAAGTTAACCTTAAACATTAGAACAAAAATTTTGTTTTCTTCCAAGAAAAGCCCCATAATTATGTGTTGATACATCGAGCACAAAAGAAAGGTTTATTAATATCTTGTTAAGAGGTATTGAGCAGATATATAAATTTAATGAGAGTTTGTTTATCTGGATAGATTAATGGAAGTTAAATGATGAATACCTTGCTTTGTGAAATTTGCAAATTGTTTTAACGCTTTGATTACTAGGGACTAGTAATAAGCTGGTTGGGGGGTGTGATTAGTACTTAAAAGTGCATTTTTATCATGGTTTTATATCATCATTTTGCACTTGAAGTATCAATAACTCCTTAACTAAAATATGTTTTATAATAATGTATCTAATAATATAAGATACCTATAATTTGTGGTAAATGTCTATTTTTAATGCAGGCCTATCACATAAATGAAAGGATTGATTGATGACTTGAAGAACTTAAATTGCAAGGATAAAGAGATGGCCAAACTTAGAAAAGAGATGTTGGTGCAATCCAAACCGGAACATTGTTCGGTAATTGGGTCATATCTGGAGCTACAGATCTCAGATTTAGGTCCAATTTATATGGATGGAAAGGTAAGACATAGGCCTACAACTTTCATATGGAGCCCAAGATCTAAAAAGGCCATTATCAAGTCCAAATTGTAGCAACAACAAAGAAGCCCGAATCTGTCTTCCAGCCCGAGCACTGTTCGGTATTTTGGCCATATCTGGAGTTCTAGAAGTCCAAATGAGCTGAATTGTTTACACAAGAAAGCTGAGACAATTGCCTACAACTTTCATGTTTGGACCTGGCTCCAATTTTGACGTTATCAATGACGTTTTGGGCAGACAAGAGAAGATAAGGATTGTCACCAAGTCAAAAGTTGGCCACCCACTTATCAATTAGTCATCAAATCAATAGTTCCCAATTTTGGCCTATAAAAGGAGGCATTTGCCATGCATTTAGGCATCTTGGTTTCCAGATCAAGATCATGCTCTTCCTTTCTCTCTTTGTATTTTTTGTAATGTTTATGCTTTGCTTTCATTAATATTAAGTTTATGCCTTTCATTTCCTTTCCTTTACTTAGTTAACTTTTATGTTCTTATTTTGTTTATCTATTTTGCTTTCTTTCATTATGTCTAGCTAAGTTAATTATGTCAAGGTGAAAAGGCTACACTAATGGTGTGAGAATAAGTATAATATGTCTAGCTAAGTTAGTTATGTCAAGGTGAAAAGGTTACACTAATGGTGTGAGAATAAGTATAATGTAAACTTAATATGGACTTTAATGTTTGATACTAACATGTTTTATATTTGTTATCTTGTTTACTCTTTAATACTTTGCTTGTTAAATGATTAATCTTGATTTATGTTGTATAACACTTGGTACAACAAATGCTTGGCACTTTCATAGCCCATAATGTATGGTATAACCGACACCTGAGCTATGAAAGGAACTTGATTTGTTGTTAACATAAGTTATAATCATGAATGCTTGACGAGATTTACAAGTATTAGCATTAATTGAATAAGATGACTAATGTAATCATGTTAACAATATATAATCTGATTGGAACCTCCTTTATGTGTGGTTTCCAATTCAATAATAAGAGTTTATACTATACTTGTTTGATATACCATTAGTGGAACCTCTAACCTTGACATTTGTTATTATTATTGTTTAATCCTTAAATTAATTTTCCATCTCCAAGTTCTCATCATCATCATCTTCTTCTTCTTTATTATTATTATTATTATTATTATTATTATTGTAGTTATTGTTGTTATTTCTATTATTGTTGTTTATAATTGTTATTTATAATTTGTACAATTAACCTCCCTATGGTTCGACCCCGGTCTTGCCGGGTTATTTATTACTTCGACACTCCTGCACTTGGGAGAAGACATCAATCTTTTCGTCGTGTCAACTACCTCCCTTCATCTTCGGGCGTATTCCCTTATGGACTCCTTGTTGTCCTTCTCCATAGCTTGCAAGCTTAACCGATCAGGGCCGACGTCTATATTGAACTTATATTGCCTCATGAAGGCATCAACTAAATCCTTCCATCTTTTAACCTTAGTATTATCCAACCGCATATACCAAGTGAGGGCAATGTCACTCAAATTATCTTGAAAGAAGTGAATCAACAGTTTCTCGTCATAGACTACCTCAGCTATTTTGTTGCAGTCTGCTTTGAGATGAGTTACAAGGCATTGAGTTCATGTATATTTGATGAATTCTGGCACCTTAAACTTCCTAGGAATGACTGCGTTAAGTACCAAACACATCTCAGTAGCTTTTATGCGGTCATGTAGGCTAGTTCCCTCAAATGCCCTCAGCCTTTGTTCAAGGACAGCCCATTTATCCAGGCCATCTTATTTTACTATCTTGTTCTTTTGAGATTCCTTTATTGTAAGGTTAATGGTAGATGACATTCTAATGGGATATGCTGGTTGAGCAAATTGGGAATACATAGCCTGTTGAGACACCTCATTTGCCCCCCGATTCTGTGGATTTCCGAGCATAGGTTTAGGCTGAGCTGTAGATTTTGCTTCTTTTGGTTTAGATCTTAAGACCTATTCAAGTAGGCTAGTAAGCTTTGTGACTTCTTCTCTAAGACTTTCCATCTCTTTTCGGTGTTGGGCTTCCAACTAGGCTTTTTCTTCGTTTTCCATTGTTTGTTTTTTGCAATCAAGTGTTATAAGCGTGTTTCAATGGGGGACCTATATTTCACCTAGAGTGCAGTATTATGACAGGTCATAATTGTATGTTCAAACATGCATGGAGATGAATACAACATATTGGGTATGGATTTGCCTTTTGGGGGGTGACATAATGATCGCTATTTTTTTTAAATGTGTGGTCAGATTCGAATATGATATTCATTGCAATGCCGAGAGGAGATCTATTTAGCTTTTTGTCATCTGAGCTTTCAGCCACATTCTTAGTGTCTTTCACTAAACATCTAATGTCTTTGAGTAACGGTATCTCACCGACATCCAGTCTAAAGTAGTCTCCCTCGGTCATTTGTGAGAATTCAAACTTGAGTCCATGCTCAACAGTTGTTGTCTTAGGAATAACGGTCATTATGTCACCCAAAAGCCTTGTAATAATGATGCTTACATGTTTAAGCTTTATCTCAATAAAGTTATACAGGGATCAACCTAAGGGATAGGTTCTAATTATTAAATGCTTCAAGGTAATTTTGCTATCTAGTCTTAAAGGTCTTTCGCATGCTTAGTGATCGCCCTCGAAAGGTTGATATAAGGTTTACAAGTAGCGTGAAGATAGAGGCCCTGAGTAATATCAGTTCGGCATATCAACCACTATTGAGCAAACAATCATGTGAGAGTTGGATAGTTTCGCGAGCCTTACCCAGGCTAAAGCCATTGGGGTGTCGTTACTCCTCCACTTATCTTAAAGTTGATACCACATGTAAAAAATGAGATAAGTGATGCGTGAATACCTTAGATACATATCCAATATATAAGCATGATAAACATGAATAACTATGCATGTTAAAACAATAAAAAGAGCAAAAAATGGTACGACAAAAATTGTTTAGCAATAAAAAGGACAACTAGCAAAGCTTAGTCCTAAAGTTCCCAGTAGAGTCGCCATTCTATCGCACCCGACATCGCAGTGGCCTTAAAAATATAATTCATTGAAAGAACGGATTTCTGGCATCCAGTTCCATTGCACATCAATTCAACCATTTGCTTATCTCTAGGTGTTAACCCTTCATAAAAATGTGAAACCAATCTCCATGTTTCAAAACCATGATGAGGGCAAGTACTAAGCAAGTCTCCATACCTATCCCAACATTGGTAAAATGTTTCTCTTGGTTTTTGAGTGAAAGTGGTGATTTGTCTTTTGAAAGAGTTTGTTCTATGAGATGGGAAAAACTTCTTTAAAAACTATTGTTGCATTTCATCCCAAGCACGAATGGATCCTGGTCTCAAATTTTGTAGCCATGTTTTAACTTTATCTTTTAATGAAAAAGGAAAAAGCTTTAATTTGATGGTGTTCATGCTACAATTTAAATTATTATATGTGTTGCAGACCTCCTCGAATTCCCTTAAATGCAAGTATGGATTTTCCAATTCTAAGCCATGAAAAGAAGGTAAACGTTGAATAATACCTGGCTTAAAATTAAATGAGATGCATCAGGAGAAAAAACTATGCATGATGGTGCACTTGTTCTTGTGGGATTCATGTGGTCTTTAAGTGTTCTAGCACGGTTATTCTCATTATTCTCATTATGAAGTGATTGATTATCTTCTTCGGCCATATTTTTTAAAAATGATGAGGATACCCTACAGAGTCTACCACTTGATGTATGTGACCACACTATCATGCACATGAAGGAATAGAATAAAAGGAAAAAGGAAACAAAAGAAGAAGAAACAAGAGAAAAGAAATAAAGTTATATACAAGAAAAGTGAAAAGAGAAAATATTATAATTTATACAAAACTTACCTCCCCGGCAACGGTGCCAAAAACTTGACACGACTAAAAGATTGATGTCTTCTCCCAAGTGCAGGAGTGTCGAAGTAATAAATAACCTGACAAGACCGGGGTCGAACCACAGGGAGGTTAATTGTACAAATTATAAACAACAACAACAACAACAACAACAACAACAACAATAATAATAATAATAATAATAGCAATAGTAGTATTAATAGTACTAATAATAATAATAATAATAATAATAATAAAGAAAGAGAAGAAGAACAAGATGATGAGAACTTTGAGATGGAATATTAATGAAAGGATTAAACAATGATAATAACAAATGTCAAGGTTAGAGGTTCCACTAATGGTATGTCAAACAAGTATAGTATAAACTCTTATTATTCAATTGAAAACCACACACAAAGGAGGTTCCGATCGGATTATGGAACAATAATAATAACAAATGTCAAGGTTAGAGGTTCCACTAATGGTATATCAAACAAGTATAGTATAAACTCTTATTATTGAATTGGAAACCACACACAAAGGAGGTTTCAATTAGATTATAAATTATTGACATGATTACATTAGTCATCTTATTCAATTAATGTTAATACTTGTAAATTTCATCAAGCATTCATGATTATAACTTATGTTAACAACAAATCAAGTTCTTTTCATAGCTCAGGTGTCAGTTATACCATACAGTATGGGCTATGAAAGTACCAAGCATTCGTTGTACCAAGTGTTATTCAACATAAATCAAGATTAGTCATTTAACAAGCAAAGTATTAAAGAGTGAGCAAGATAACAAATATAAAACATGTTAGTATCAAACATTAAAGTCCATATTAAGTTAATACTATACTTATTCTTACACCATTAGTCTAACCTTTTCACCTTGACATAATAAACTTAGCTAGACATAATGAAAGAAAGAAAAATAGATAAACAAAATAAGAACATAAATAAGATAAAAGTTAACTAAGTAAAGAAAAGGAAATGAAAGGCATAAACTTTATATTAATGAAAACAAAGCATAAACATTACAAAAAATACAAAGAGAGAAAGCAAGAGTATGATCTTGATCTGGAAACCAAGATGCCTAAATGCATGGCAAATGCCTCCTTTTATAGGCCAAATTGGGAACTATTGATTTGATGACTTATTGATGAGTGGGTGGCCAACTCTTGACTTGGTGACAATCCTTATCTTATCTTGTCTGCCCAAAATGTTATTGATAACGTCAAAATTGGAACCACTTGCAGATATAAAAGTTGTAGGAAATTGTCTCAGCTTTTTGTGTAAAAAATTCAGCTCATTTGGACTTCAAGAACTCCAAATATGGGCCAAAACACTGAACAATACTCGGGTTGAAAGACAGATTCGGACTTCTTTGTTGTTGCTCCAATTTAGACTTGAAAATGGCCTTTTTAGATCTTGGCCTCCATATGAAAGTTGTAGACCTATGTATTAACTTTCCATCCATATAAATTGGACCTAAATCTGAGATCTACAACTCTAGATATGACCTAATTACCGAACAGTGTTCCGGTATAGACTGCACCGACATCTCTTTTCTAAGTTTGGCCATCTTTTTGTCCTTTCAATTTCAATTCTTAAATTCATCAATCAATCCTTTTGTTTATATGATAAGCCTGCATTTAAAATGAACATTTACCACAAATTAAAGGTATCTTATATTATTAGATATATTATTATAAAACATGCTTTAGTTAAGGAGTTATTGATACTTCAAGTGCAAAATGCTGATATAAAACCTTGATAAAATGCACTTTTAAGTACTAATCAACAATCATACCACCTATGTGTAGACCAGCTGGAGTCTCACACACACACACACTCTCTCTATTTATTTTTTTTCATTTATTTATTTTTAAAAAAGCATGTATATGTATATGTACAGGTTGTGATTGTGGCTCACATCTTTCCTTAGTTTTATGTCCAAGAATGGCTTAAATGCCCTCTATGGGTTGGGGATAGGCTTCCCGTCCAGTTTTCTTAAAAACTAGCAAACATGGTCTTTTTTAATTAGATTTTCAAGACTAAGTCGAGCATGTTCTTCATAAAATAGTGGCCATAAATCATGAATTGCACGATGCACATCTCCACTAGGATGCATCTCAAGAGTTAATAGAAGATTATCTAAAGACTCCTTACTTAGGCCATCCTTAATGAATTGTATTTTATCTTCACGGTTTATAGATATCATTCCTAAAGAACGACATTGTGCATTACAAGTCCATCTGGCATATCGATGACACAACGAATATCTTCAGGAATTCCATGATTTATTAACAACCTCAATCTTGCACATCTAGCATGGTAAATTTTTATAATTGCATTCTGAGGCAGAGTGGGAAAATACTTTTTTAATTTTTCAAGATTAGTGTCCATTATCAAATGAGAATTGGAAGAGAGTTTCAAAGAATTGCACAAATATATACACAGATATCAGTTATTATGGGAAACTAAAAGAACCGACTTAAGTCACGAAGTACCGTTGTCCGCCATTTGATCGGGGTGAGAGAAGCTAGCAAAAATCACTCAAAAAGACACACAAAAACAATGTGAGAAAAACAAAATAATCAACCTTTATCTACAAGATCATTCAAACTAGTTGATTTATTTTCACTAGGAAAATTATCAAAGGAAGCTTTCAAATGATGTCCATTTTCCTTAAAAATATTATCATTCATTGAATTCTCAATATCACAGGCCCCATAAGGATTGCTCCATCTTGATCTTAGCTCTCTAGGGAATGCATAGAGTTGAGAATTATAAAACAAAACTTTTTGACCAGTATCAACTTTTTGACAATTTTCACAAGTTTTACAAAATACATGCGTGTGCTTGAACATGGTGGGCCAATAAAATTCATTTTGAAATATTTTTATAGTTGTCTTTTTTGACAAGAAATAACTTCCACATTGCATAGATCTTTCAAAAAATTTAGCATAGAAAGGAACCTGTTTAATAGCATCCAGCAAAGGTATATTGATTCTTACCTGTTTGAAAGTTTTAAAGATTTTAGAGTTGTGATTGACTTTCCTTTATTTGATCATGACATGAGGAAATGGAAGTGCTGGCGTAGAATCAATCTTTTCTTTGCAATTTTCAGATTCAACCCCTTCCTTACCCTCAAAGATTGACTCATCATCTTTCTCATAAGGTTTAAGAGTGGATTTTTCAATAACCTTACCATTGCGAAGAGTAGTGACTAATTTGACTTGATCCATATGTTGGCTTCCGGAACTACTTGCATTTGCATTGTATTGCCCTTTGGGATTTTGTTGTGGTTAAGATGGAAACTTATCTTTCTCTTGGAAACTGAGAGCAAATGTTAATTTTGCAAGAGTATCTTTAAAATCTGTCGTGTTTTGAGCAAGTTGAGTATTGATTGTCTCTTGCTTTTCAATGAATGCATGCAATGTTTTCTCAAGATTTCTTCTAGGAGGTGGAGCATAAGGAGGTACATATCCATGAGAATTTTGGAAATTATGGTGTGCTTGAAATGGTGGTTGTGAAGTTTGTATATTGTTATTATCACTCTTCCAACTAAATTTTGGGTGATTTCTCCAATCAGGGTTGTATGTTTGGGAGTATGA